CTGTATAGAAAAGATACATGTTTTATGACCATTTTGATATTTGCCGATTAATTTCTTAACTGATATGCGCTTGTATCCATGTGTCTTATGGGACTGGCCAATTTCTATTTTCTAATGCGAACCAGTTATTCATCATACAGACAACTTTAATGGTTAGGAACTTCAACACAGGGGTGTCAGATTCATACTAGATTTACAGCTTTACATAAAATGGAACCTTTATAGAGAAAAATATTTTTAAGACTTCTCTGAAAACTTGACTTGCAACTTGCATAAAGCCACTATTTGGTGGTGTGGAACATTTAGAAACTCGATGTAGAGCTTATTTACTGGTCTAGAACAGTTTTTGTCAAAGTGGGGCCCAAAGTGGATGACAAAGATTATACATGAAGTATGGCTCATGAGTTGGAGCACCTGAATTGAATTGAAAGAATCACAATACAGAACACTTTCTCAAAGTTGCTGTTCACTTCACAGTATGAGACTTGAAGCTCCCGGAAGGGTGGGCATGATTTCAGAGGAGTAAGCTCAGGCAATTGCATGTTTATATCCCATCTGAAAATGTTGGATGATGGCAGTTTTTATGTTTATATTACTACCACATATCTAAATGTAATCCATAATATCAAAGAGTTAGTGGAAACTAGGTCAACATATACTGTTATCAGGGATGACATTTGCTTGCAACTAAAGCTCCAGAAGATTAACTGCTGCAGTCAAATATTGTCTCACTAAATTATTTTACTGAAGATTTAATTCAGGAACTGGTAGGAGAATCTTTTCTAAAATTTAGAAAACAAATTTGCAGACATCCCTGTACTTGAATGATGACCCTTTTGAAACGCCTCTGCAAAAGACTGGTCTGCAGTGCATGTGTGACAGTTGCTTAAATTCCGAACATTCACAGTGGTAAGATGAACAAAAGCTGGCAATTGCTCTATCAAAAATGTCAGTGATAGATCAGAGAAAAATCTCACTTCTTTGAGCAACATGCTGATATATAAATATTGTAAATTGAAGGTAATTACATTCAGATGCTGGCATCTCTTGATTACTCAATATTTAACCATCTGGTTTCACTATTTATTGCTAGCAACAGAAAACCCCAAACTTGTACAGTCCAGTGTACTAAGAATCTTGTTTGAACTGTGCGTTGCTGGAAGATGTGCAACATTGCAGATTTCATGGAAATGTGTAGGTTATAAAGGTTCCTCTTTACACTATCCAAATGCAGCAGGAAAACTCCCCAAAGAGTAATTTCACAGATTTCCCTGTGAACTGTCTATTAATCACACACAGATCAGCCTTAGATGCAGTTACATTGGCTGCCTTCTCTGCCTTTTCTTGTTGCTTCGTTGATTAATTTGTCATGTAGTTCACCTCTGACATTGAGATCAGATCAAATATAAGAAAATATTTTTGTATGTCTTTACTGTCACTTTGCTATTTTGTCTTCCTAAGCTGCCATAATATGAATTACTTATGCGGTTTAAAGAATAAGCCCATTTTCTCACCTTTTTGGACATCAGAAGATTGAATAAACATCACCCAGTGCATTTTTTTTGGGCTGTTTTTTGTTGAGCTTGGAGTCACTGACATGGTTTCAGATAAATTCTTTTCACAGAAGCAATTATGAACATAAAAATATCTGTCTTTGCTAGAATTGCATCATAATCAGACATGCACTCTGCATGTGCTTGGGTGTCAGAACTAGAGGACAAAATCAAGGAGACCACAAGACGTTCTCTGAAGCTGAGGTGAAATATGTCTTCAAATCACAGGTATAGTTTTTCCATGACACTGCTGCTTACCAGCCGTTTCTCACCTTCAGCAGATCAGGTTTTCAGCCTGCTCCATGTCCTCCATCTCTGTAATGTGAGTAAGGGGGAGGTGATGACAGCTATAAAAGAGACAAGAGTTTTGTTCTCTCATTAAAGACCCCATTTTCACTCAGAATCAGCGATGGGAGTGAGGTAGTCAAGGAGGCGATGAAGCTCTCGGCTGGCTACAAGTCACACAGTTTGTCATTTTATTGCCACATCATATTTTCACAATGCCCATCACCTGTCGAGTCAGACTGGAGAACGTGTCCTAAATGTGAAGAAGAGAGGAAATACAGGTGAGACAGCCTGTCAGGCCGAGTTAGCTGTGAAGTCACTAAATTTTAAGGGGAGCCAAAAACTCATGTTGGTTAGAGTCATCTTTAAGAGTGAGAACAGTTATTTCAGATGTTTCTTTTAATTGAATGAAAAAAAAAAAGATGCTTTTTTTGTTGTAAAATATGCACGTTTACTTGATGCCATTAAGCATCAGTGTTTTCCAAAATGAATTCAAAATTTTTGACAGAAGTATAATCAGATCAAAATACACAAAAATGTTGTGTGTTAGAGCAAAACTGTACACATAGCGACAAATGCATGGACGTATTTCCTTGTTTTTGCTCTCTGAGGCGAGGGCTGAAAGGTTTCACTGGAAAAAACATGCAGGCCAAGAAAATATTTTTTCTCCTTTGCTTTGATATTGTTTGCTTCGGAAGAAATGACATGCACACATGGTGAGTGTGTTTGGCAGTTAAGAACTAATAGAAAAGCTATTTGTGTCAAGCCTATCATCCACTGACCTCCACAGAAGAAGAAGAAACCGATCACTGGACTGTCAGGTTCGATCAGTGGCCCTCCATTCTTCCCTCAGACAGGCAGAGAATGGCAAAAACAAGAATAGTAAAATTGTAAATATTAGAATTTATTTATAATTTAAACTAAATGGACAGTCACATGTCCACGTGCTCAAAGTCTATTTTCAGTGACGGAGAGGGTAGACCTGCAGAATTTCAGGTGAGACTGATTTATGAGCACGGCCTTTAACTCAGCTCCTGAGCTGCATACAGGAGGACTCAAACCAGATGCCAGCCAAAGGCATTTGGCTGTAATTAATCAAGTAATTCATAAACAACATAACAAGAATAAATGAATGCAATATAATCTTCAGCCGCTGCTTCATGTCTGTTTCTTAATGTAGTAGACAGTTAATTTAAATATGAATGATTACACATGTAAAACCATATTGCTGTATTGAAGTTTAAAAGATTATGCACGTCCCCCAGACAACAGACACAGGCACACAACAGTGTATGTGTGTGCCTGTGGGCATGTGGTTTGCTGGAACAATGATGGTGGTACAGAGAACCGATGAAGAGAGATGAGCCCAGGCGGTGGGTCATTAGTGTTCACTTTGATAAAAGAAGCATGGGATTCAAAAAAGGAGAGCACAACCACACACACGCATAACCACTCACCCACAATCACCAAGGCTCTTGCTGTTCTGTTACTCTGTATGAGCTCAAACCAGACCAGCAAAAATCCAGATCGCAATTTGGGGCAAAGCTGGAGGTTTCATGCACTATTCTCTGAAGACGTTTTGTTGTCGTGTTAGAAGTATTTTTGCACCAAAATAATCCAGTTTGTAGCATCTGAATGAATTGTTAATCTGAAATATTTTATCTCTTTTTTAAAATCAAATGTAGCTTACCATATGTGTTTTGTTTGTGGAAAAAGGCCCAGAAATATATAAAGCATCAAAAAGCGTTTCAGGTATCAGAATGCAAAATCAGGTCCCATCCCACACGGAGCAGGGTGTGTTCAGTTCTCACTGCAGTGCCTCTTAAAAACACTGCCGTTTCCATAGATGTTTATGTTCTTACTGAGTGATTGGAAAACCCAGTTACAATATGTGTTTACAAAGAGGCAAAGAAAAATTTGGTAACATGCACACGCTTAATGCAAAGCTCACAGGGAAGCTTTCAAAGAACGTTGAGACTGAGCATGGACAAAGACTGTGCTCATACTGTGTGTACTGTTTCCACATACATCCGTGCTTTATGCAGAGAGAAAAAAAAAAGAAAAAAAAGGTTAATTGCACATTCATGTAAATTATGAAGAGCTGCCTTTTTGATGGGAGGGCATGAGGGTAATTCTAACATCATTAAAATGTAATATTTTTCAATTTACTTTTTGCTTGGATATTCTCGTCTCTGATGTCCAGAAGTAGACCTGTAATAGTTCTCCATACATCCTTGAACAAAACTGTGTTGTTGTAATTTTGTTGGTTGATTTTAATTTGTGAGCTGAATCAAAAAGCCTAAATTAAAGCTGCTAGAATCATCTTTTGACTCTCACAACATGTTACGCTCTTTTCACACTCCCTAAAGACTTCTAAAGTATAATATTACTGCAAAATCCATTTGCTCTTATCATGTTGCAGTAATAGTCACTGAAACTCTAAACGTTCCATCAACATCACTGGAGAGACTTTTTGAACTATGTTAACAATTCTCACAGTAAAGGTCTGTGGTTTGCTCCTATCTGGCTACAATGTATTTCTTTTTTTTGTTTTTCATCTTCTTCAATCTTCCGTTGAGTCATCTCTCTCCAACACTGCCACTGTTTTTTTTGTTCAGATTCTGTTTCACTTACGTTCACCAGACTAGCCTCTTCTCACTCACTAAGCCCTTTCCCCTCAGACCTGCTTATATGAATTCTCGCTTTTGCTCTCACGTCTGCTCGTGCCCCCCTTTGTCTCCTCACATTTCTCACTCTTTCTTTTTCAAGATGTCAGGATTTACATTTGTTCCTGTTTTCACATGCATTTCATGACTGATGATCCACCTCATAAGATAATTGTTCCCCCTGCCTTGTTTTCAAAGAGATTTGAAATACACTATTGCAGATTACATTGATTGCTTTTACTTCTGGAGGAGCCTTGTCATAGAAGACGTTCTGTCTTGTGTAATGAGCTTTGAGAAAAAAACTGGGGGGGATGTGTTCAGGGCTTCTGATTTTCAGTCTGTCACACTTATTTTTTCAAGCTAGCTTGAGATGAAAAGGGTGTTTGAAATTATTCATGTGTGAAACATAAACAGAAGGAGTGTTAAAACATTCAAACCATCATGTAAATGTATTGTGTATTCACCAAGAGACTTTCCTCTGTGCCTTTCCTTTCAGCTGTTCAAGAATAAAGCCATGGAGCTGGGAGAAAAGCTACTGCCTGCTTTCAACACGCCAACAGGAATCCCCCGTGGAGTCATCAACCTGGGGAGGTGAATCTTAGCACCACTCTTCACCCCCACATGTCTTCCATCCACACCAAGCAATTAAATTAGCTGACATTAATCAGTGCATGGAAGTCTCTAGTTCTCAGCAGCAGCCCGAGTTCGATTAAAAGAAGACTGATTTTTAATGAATAACCAAACAATGGCAGCATCTTTTATCGTGTGTTTTTGTTGTCAGAAAGAAGAATAACCAAAGAGTAAAATCTTATCTTCATTCTTGTAGATTTTCTTAAATATTTCATCTAAAATTTTAGTGGGAGACTATGCAAACAGCCAAAAAAGAAGTAAACTTTAAAAGGGAATGTGAATAGTGGATGCATCTTAAATTTAGGAAAAACAAACGTCAATCAATACAAATTGAAAATTACCCTAAGTGGCAGAGGGTTCATCTGTGAATGAACTGGGTTGACAGGAGTAATCCAGAAAATCAATTAGATATTTTTAATACAAATGCATGTGTGCATATATATTTTCTTTCAAATCAGAAAATCAACCCCATTCATGTCTTCATGTAGCATGATGACTTCATATTAACTTCATGCTGTCATAACAAGCATGTATTGCACAAATCAATAGAAAAGTAATTTTGCCCACTTAATGTGACTATACATCTATGCTAAATTAACTCATTTACACATTTGCATTCAGGTTCTTAAGTCTACACATTATTGCAGGCTATATTAAGCTTTTTTCTGTATAAAAACATGCCAGTTAACCCATCTGAGGAAGCTGAGGATTGAACTCTTCACCTTCCAGCTGACAGATGGCTCCCCCTTCTGAACTACAGCTGCCTACAAACCTATACAAGACCCATGATTTACAACAGTGATCTGATCCAAAATGTGTGTTGGTTGTGATAATTTATCTTAGAAATTACCAAATAGACAGATTACAAGCAATTGGAAGCAATTTAAAGGATAATATAACATACAATTCTTAAAATACTGCCATGAGAAAATATGTTTGAGTTCTTAAAAAGAAGAAAATTGTTTAAACAGTGGTTGTACACAGACTGTCGCTCACTTTGGGGCTCAGACCCATAGCTTCTGTGACGGAGGTGTTTAACCTACTTATGAACAAACTCCCATATGTCGTGTGTAAATTGCCAAACTAAAAACAAAAACAGAGCATCTTTTTTTAGTTTTTTGTTAATGATTCTGAAAATGATAAACAATTGATACATTATCGTAAATAACTTTTCTCTTCGCCTCCAGTTTTTGGTTCCTTAGAAACCAACCATACAGAACAACTACAGAATTCCAAGTTTCAAAAGTTTTTTTAAGGCCCAAAATATTTTTACAATTCTTGATAAGCAGCCTGAAGTCTTTAATTTGCAACTGAACAGCAGAAGGTTGATCTTTATTTACACTCTGTGGATAAGAATAAATCCAAGTTTATAAATAACTTGGAGGATGACATGAATAATATTTGCATATCTTTAAAGAGATTTGACTGATTTTCAATCTGTTCCAAGCCATTGCCATTCTAATCTGCAACCCTTACTGACAGCCATGCTACACTACTTGTGGTTATTGTCCATTTAATGGCAATTTAATGGTGGCTCTTCACCTCCACATCCAAAATGTCAACCTTTTTAAGGAAATGTTTGAATAAGATGTCTTGGGTTCTGATGTTACACTTAGAAAAAATATCCCAAAATTATATTGAAAAAAATCTGAAAACTGATTATAACCCTGAGTCGGTGACCATGACAGGCAAATGATCAACGGTAGACTGATTCCTGCAGCATGACTCTTCCTCTGTCTTGCCAGCACACGGGACAGTGAATGAACAGCACAGGATGGGGGGCACATTACGAGGCCTGCGCCCGGATTTGATCTACAATTTCTGATTAGATTTGACCAAATTCTCTCTTTCAAACCGCTTTATAAATCCCACAGTAGTTAGTCTTCCTCATCTCATAATCTCTTCTTCTTATGAGATACTTCCTGGCACCTCTGTCAACCACCTGCTACCAATTACAACACCAGCCAAACTGGGCAGCTGCTGGCAGATTTAATTACCTTATTCCACAGTTAATTCTCACGACATCGCCAACATGTGCCGATAGGACAGATGGGCAGAAGAAACGGCGCTGCCTGTGGCGTGCCACACGAAAACAAACTTGGGCACACACTTGTCACATCAGTCTGAAAGCATGCAGGGTGTGTGATAAAATTACTATGCAATCAACACGGTGCACAAAGGGGACTCAGCTCTGCTGTGGAATTCGACAGTGTGCAGGAAGTGTTGCCCTTTCAGCTGAAGTGGTGATGGCTTCTGTTTTAAGATTGTAATCAGATGTAATTGGTGCTGCACTGTGAGGCCTGAAATGTTAACATTTTTCTTTTCAGAAAAAACATTTTTCAGTTCTTTGACTGAGAAGGAAAGTTTAGTTTAGCAAAAATCTTCTTAAAAATCTAGGGGGGGAGTCCATCTGGTATTTAAAGATATAAACCTGTTTTTTTTCAGCTGTGTTCACATGAAATGCAATCTAAACCACTTTATCATGCCAGTTACAACAACAGTAGAGATCTGCCTCACAACCATCAAAAAGGTTGGACTGAAGATCACCAAGATGCTCTCCAACTTTCACTCAGAATTAATTCATTAAATTCTGTTTGAACCTTTCCTCTGGCTTCCTCCTCATCTTAAACTCAAAATGTCAGAATAATTAGTGAAAACTTTTAATTAATCAAAGTGATTTAGCAATCTTAAAATCTGTACAAATGCGCAGTAGTTTTACAGGTTGTGAATGTGATCCTTCAAAGTCTCACTCACTATGGTTTAAGGCAACTTGTAAACATGCGTTTCCCTTAAGATTAAACCATAAACAACCTTTCTTAGAGAAGCTTAGAGTTTAATTGATCGTGCACATGTTCTAGATAAAATTAGGTGAAAATCATCTTACAAAACCAAAATCCAACCACTGTAAAATACCATTTTGATGGTCAGATAGATTCTTCAAAGCACTTGAAATGCAGCTAGTGGCAAGTCAAAACCAAATTTAATTGTCATCAATAAAATGTGTCTTCAGTCAGTGAACACTGTTAAACTCCTGTTAAAAAGCACAAGAAACCAATTTCCTCAACACATTTTTGCATGACATGTGATATTGATTTTCGCGTTTCCATAATTTTCGAACACTGGATTATATCCCTGGCAGCTGTAGAGAAGCCTGCAATTATTAAAGGAGGTGAAGAAATGAACGGATGTGTGCCAGAGAGGTAGAGAACCCCTCCCAATCGCAACTCCTCTCCAAACAAACACCTGCTGTCCTGCACCTGAGAAATCGGATATCATCAAACATTACTGAAGCCAGTGCTACGAATGATTCTGCCCCCAAAACCTTAATGGGCACATTCATCAGACTGTAATTCCCTCCCTCTTTTTCCACATCAGTTCACCCTCTTAACAATTCAGACAAATTTATTATCCCATACCTGGTATCCTGCAACAGCTTTAGGATGATGTATAAAGCTGTTGTGGTCCTCTCAGCTTGCTTTATCGTTTAAATGAGAGCTTGTGATCAGCAAACATTAGCTGACAATCAGTTTGGACTCATTAGGCTATGTCCTGATTTGCTGATCTCGTTTATAATTTCTTGGCAACTTTTTAGAGATGTTATGAGGATACACAACTTGGCAGCAACATAAAGTTTTAATCGTGTTCATAAAACATCAAACATCAGTCAGAGCAGCCATTCATTCCAAACAGGTAGTAAAGCTTATTTCACAGCTTGTCATTAACATGCAGACACTAACTCAGTTTTTATGACATCTTTTAATGTTTCTGGTCTACGAGCCATTAAGTTTTTCCCATACATGTTTTACCACCAACGTTTAGCCTATTTTGTATAAACGATTCTGTTGCGGATACTGCAGGTTCACCAAAGTTGAAACTGCCTGCAAAACATCTGTCAAGTCGCTGCTTGATTTGTCTCTTGCTATTCCAGACATGATGAGAATCTTTGTCTTCAAATACTCTGTCATATTCAGTTCATTTACATGTTCAACAGTTACCTAAAAACAATAGCTGTGACAAGTCAGCTAGTGTTTATCATATTGACTTGTGTGAGCAGGAATCGTTTTTGGTATTTGATCGATGTGTTTTTTTAATGTGTGGAAACAGATGTTTTGGTCATCTTAAACCAGTAGTGATCATTGCATTCCAGTCAGTCAGGTTTGTTTAGACAAGTTGGTCATAATCCATTCAAATTTTTAAAGAATAAATGATCTTTAGTACATCTTTGCCAGTTTCCCAGTAATTCAACCATGTCTACTGATGACCCAGACTGATAGGGCACAGCTGGCAAAATCAAGGAGGAAAAAAGCAGCTAATGATGGTTCCACGTTTGTATCTGCATATATCTTTATGAAAGTGATGTTTTAACATCCACTCTGAATGTCTTTTTTGCTGCAGTGGCACCAGTTGGAGCTGGGGTTGGGCTTCGGCTGGAAGCAGCATTCTGGCTGAGTTTGGAACTCTTCATCTGGAGTTTGTGCATCTGACTGAGTTGTCCAAAGATCCCATCTACACAGAGAAGGTTGAATATATGAATCACATTACAATTTTTTAAATGTTTTCTGGATCAAACAATTGCCGTGCTTGAGCCAAATGAATGTTTTTGCAGGTGATGAACATCAGAAAACTGCTTAATAAGATTGAGAAACCTCACGGCCTGTACCCCAACTTTCTAAGTCCAGTCAGCGGCAACTGGGTCCAGCGTAAGTAATGCAACTAATGTACACAAGCAAATGTTCAAGAAATGATTGTTCTAGGGTGCGTCTCTCTTTTGCTACCATCCACAGTTTAAAGAAATAGAGGTGCGTGGAAAGTTAAATGTTATTTTTATTTTCCACTATGGCAGTATGTACTTTCATAGCCTTGGTTAGGATAAAAGAATCTGAGCTCAGCAAAAACACTTTTTGTCCTTTTTTTCCCCTGTTTCTTTGCTTTTCACACGCCTGGCAGACTTTGAGACACCACATATGTCAAAATTCTTTCAGCAGCTCATCTGTCATCCACTTTCCTGTCTACCTCCTTTTCATTCTTAATATCAGGCTCATACTGTAGCAGAGGCTATATGACTCTCATCGCTCTGGGTTATTGAAATGATAATGAATTCAATTACTTCAAGAAATTGGATCTTTTTAATTTACCTGAAAATGGGGGAAAATGGTGCTAAATTAATGCTGGGAGTGAAAAACTGCTAATCTGGAGGATTTTGGAGACTAATTGTCATACATGAGCATGCCAAGAATCAAGGCTATACACAAACACCAGCACAAAGAAAATAAGCTTTGTTCATTTATCTACATCGAGAACAAAGATAGCATTGCTGTGATAACCTTGTGATGAAGGCATGGCAGGTGCAGGTGTTTAAATTGAGCATGACTGGTAAAGATAAAGGATTATGTATTGTATTCCTACTCTGTGGTAGTCATATTTATGTAGACTGGAATAAAAATATTAACGACTACACTGTAAAAAGTGGAGAGAAAAAATAGCAAAACTATCTAAATTAGACTTCGATAAGAGCTTGAAGGATTGAATTGGGAGTAACACTGCTACAAATGTAATGTCTATGAAGACTCCCAGCAGGAAGCAATCAAATGCTTTAAGAAATTAAATAATTTATCTTGAAAAAAGAAATCTGTATCTACTTAATTTCAAGACATCTGTTTGATCTGGCAGGATAACTGGGTTTGTCTCCACTTTCTCTTTTTAGATCATGTTTCCATTGGTGGCCTCGGGGACAGTTTCTACGAGTATCTAATCAAATCATATCTAATGTCAGACAAGACAGACGAGGATGCAAAAAAGATGTACTACAGTGCACTGGAGGTATGGAAATCTTTGTCTTTTCACTCACACAACATGATGCGCCTGCTGAGGCACAGCTCAGTTCAATCCAGTCAAATTCACTATTGTAATTTGGGAACGTTTTTTTTATATTAAAGAAAATGAATGTACAAATATAAGAGTTTATAAGTCAAACATTCATTTCCACTGAAAGAAACAAATAACTTTTTGTTAAAATGGAGTGATTTGACTTAAGGTGAAAACAGTCAAAAAGTCACTGCAGCCTTTCACTACCCACAAGAGATTCTTCTTCTTATTATAAAGATAATACCAGAGAAAGCTGATTACTAACGTGAAGAAAGATTTAGACGCATAGGCAGTACAAAGCTAAGGCTGTCATTGGGATTTCCTCAGTTTCCATTGGTCATGGATCCACTAATTGGAGACTCTTCTCTCCTGTGACTTGGAATTTAAAAGACAGGAATTCCATGTTACCAGACTAAGATTCATGATGCATGTTTATAGAGATATCCAATGTAAGGACACAGACACAAAGTTATTATGTGTGGCACTAAATTTAAGGTAGACAACTAATTAACTTACAGTGCTGAGTGAGAAAATATTTCCAGATTATGCTCTGCCATGATTAATAAATGACAATGGCTAATTGGAGGGAAATCCAAACAGTCAGGAAGATATATTCAGAGAACATGGTATTCATAAACCTTTGTTTACTGTAATTCCACATTACAGCTTAATTATCCCGTCCTGCACAATGTACGGCTCACAGCTGAGAGCAGTGCTAATAAAGAAGAGCACAAGAATAGAATGAACAGAATATTTGTATTTCCAAGCATATGATGGAGATTTAAAGAAAAAAGACAACCAGGAGCCAAGGTTTAAGAGGGAGCTCTTCCTTGTATTGACAGCATTCCGCATTGCAAAGAAGACCCGATAAAGCTCAGAGATGACCAAATAAGAAAATAAATGTTAAAAAATGAGATAATAAAATCTGAGTTACAACAGCAGCAAAAAAGAATATACGACATGAAAATGCTTTAAACTTTCAGAAAATCATTCCGAACACTCTTCATGCCGTTTAGCACCATTTGGGAGTCAAGATATCCTTTTTTCTCAGACAGAATGTATCAATGTTAGAGGTACAGCTGATCCATCGCTGTTCAGTACTAGCAGGAAGAAGCTGAATGCCCCCACTCTATGAATAACTTTTGATTTCAGACAATTTTATGTACGAATCGTAAAAAAATCAGTTTCCTAAAGTCTTGAAACTGGGTACAGCTTCATTCCACGTTAAGCACGTTTCTTGTTTTTCAAAATTCTTTGGAACAAAAGAGACATAGAAAAATGTGCGAAATCATGACTCTTACATTCAAGCTGCTTCCAGAAAGCGATAGTCATCAACACATCCAACCAGTAAAATTACTCCAGACATTTTTTGGAAATAACTTAATATGCTTTTAGTCTGAGGGTTTTTACACAGTAGCTTGTTGATTTTTCTCTCCACAACTACCTTGAGAAGATTAGGAGTTTTTTTCCCCTGGGCTTAAATAACTTGCATGCATGATGTTCTTTTCTGTCACCCTAATACAAAAGTAATATTGTACTTAAAAGCTTCAGACAAACTAGTCTTTGTACTCCACAGGTAGATAAACAGTGATGCCAGATAAAGGGACTGAACATGCCTTTTCTTCAATAGTCCTCTTCAGGGTGTTGCTCCCTTTAGATTCTCTACATGGCTAAAACTATTTAGTTTTAAACATTGCTGGCTTTGTGTGTTGCTACAGGCGATTGAAGTGAACCTGGTGCAGAAGTCACCCGGTGGTCTCACCTACTTGGCTGAATGGAGGGGAGGGATCTTGGATCACAAAATGGGCCACCTGGCCTGCTTCTCCGGGGGCATGATCGGTATCGGGGCTGATGATGGAGCACCAGAAAAGAGGCAACACTACCTTGACCTCGCTGCAGAGATTACACACACATGCCACGAAAGCTACTCTCGCTCAAGTAGGTGGAAATGTCAGGGCACTCAGAGGCGTATTGAGAGTGCCCGATTGCTTTGCTCTTTGCTTTAAAAAGTTGAACAGTGGTCCTTTAAAGTACCTTATAGTTGCACAGTGGATGAAGGATTGCTCTGTATTTCACTGTATACCAGAAATATGGATCACTGAATTTGTGAACAGCCTAAAAAAGTAGATGATGATATTTACCAGTGGACAATATCACTCTCAAAAACACTTAACACAGCATAATATATAGATAACATTTTAAGCATGTTTCTCATGTAAATTATAAAGCCTATATCTTGTCCATTGAGCTTTTAAATGAGGAAAATCAGAAACAGCACAAGCTCTGAATCAGTGAACACACTGCTGGCAAATCTCAGCATGAAGCAGTGTTGAATTCCAAAATAACTACTGAATTGCTTCATCGAACTTTTAAGAGGCTCCCCTTATGCCAGTATTAGCTTCATTTCATCCATTACTCAGCAGTGTAGGTGCCAGGCCAGAGCAACTAATTGGTTACATTCTGTCTCCCCCTGGGCATTATTTGCTATATCTATTTTCAAAACATTACATGCATCAAGCACATAATTGGAGGGGAGAATATTCTTATTAAAAGTAATACAGCCCAAACCTTGAGTCTTGTGCAGCATCCTCAAAATGGCACTACAGTAGCATCACTCCATCAGGTAAATGGAGGTCAAACTTAATGGGATACATGTAGTTTCTACATACCTTATTTATGATTAAATTAGGATAGATTGTTGCCACATCCAGATAAAGAAAACAGTCTAGAACAGCATTATCACAACTTAAGAACTTTTCTGTGCCCAGGCTCAGGGAAGCATTCAGGGTGGCTTCAACTCAGAAAAACAATAGTGTTATTTTAATGTTTAATAAGACACAACAAATTGTGTTGTATTATACATTTGTTGGGACATGGGAATATGCATGAGTATGAGTTAATGCAAACATCCTCTTTAGTTCAATCTTAGAAATAAATCCTCAGCCTCTAAATGCAGACACTATTGTGTTCTTTCACAACACAGTCCATATTTTACCTCTTTTTTTCCTTACAGCTACTAAACTGGGACCTGAAGCATTCAGATTTGACAGTGGAGCTGAGGCTACAGCAACCAGACTAAGTGACAGATATTACATCCTGCGACCAGAAGTCATCGAGAGCTACATGTACATGTGGAGACTGACCCACGACCCAAAATACAGAGAGTGGGGGTGGGAAGCTGTGGAGGTGAGATCATTTACACAGTCTGGTTTATGAAAACTGCTGAAATTTAAGGAAATAACTCCTCCCCTTATTAAAAATTATTTTTACATTAATAGCTGAGACATACTTCAGTCATGTTCTGTAAAGAGAAAACAAGTCTAAACTTACTGCCACGAGACTGTTGTGGATGCTTTGCTGAAAATTAAACCAAATTAACTCAACAACACACTTTCAGCCAGCACTAGATAATTTTATCCTACATTTAAGTGGGAATGTAATTTTCTAGGTTGTCACCAATTATGTCAAGCCCCTTTAACACCTCAATTATCCTCCACCAGATATTGTGTGGCTCTATACGTTTAGCCAGTAGATCAAAAGTCACACTAGAAGGAGGCGAAGGCTGAGCAGAGACCAGCATTATTAATTTGGCAGTAGACAGGCCATTTACTGTGGTAAACTGTAAAGGGTTGGCAGGGTAGAGTTAGCAATAATTTAGTATGCACAGATCAGGATGACGAGTTTGAAGGGCCTATAATTATCAGGCACAAAGGTTGGAAGCATTGCACAACACTTATGCTCATGAACATCAAGCATTAACACGTCAGGGTCTTTGTTAATAAGCAAGTATGAACCAGCCCTTTGTAGCTGGGGTTATAATGAGCTAATCCCCTTGGCCAGCTCAGGAACTCAGCTTTAGCTTCACTTGTTAATTGTACAGCTGCCTGAGGTGCTTGGCACTCTCCATCATTTATCAACACTCACCGAGCAACTGATTTGGCCCCTCATATCTAATCGGAACTTTAAAAAACTTCTAAAGGGAGTTAATTTAATAATAAATGCATGCTCCAATTAAGTATTGCCGAGGTTGGCTGATCTGCTTCAAACCTTTCCTCTCTGCCTACCTGTGTCAGGCTTTGGAGCAGCACTGTAGAGTGGAGTCTGGCTTCTCTGGGATCCGGGATGTTTACACCATGACAGTCAGCCATGACAACATGCAGCAGAGCTTCTTCCTCTCAGAGACACTCAAGTAAGTCCTGTTTTACCTCAAAATGTTCACTGAATGAACAAAAAGTTATAGTAAAATCTGCACGCACAACCATAACTGCTATGGAAATATTTCGTCCAACGATGAATCCTGTGGCGCACTTTTATTCTAATGATATATAGACAGAGGTGTTTCTAACCATGCTATGGATAGGATACTGTTCTCTTGTAATAGAACAAAATTGGAGAATACATGCTTTTAATCTCATCTTATTGTTGTGGTATAAGCAACGAGTATCACATTGCAATTGTTATATTAGAGACTAGGAATGGCATTATTAAACAGCTTTAAAAAGTGAAACAGAGTTCATCCATCCATTCTCTGACACTTGACTGACTTTCAAAGAAAAAGGCTAACCTGGGAATCCCTGCCCCCCCCCCCTCTCTGCATGCCTCCCAATCCAGTTTGAATCATCTGAAATACCTGACCAGATACTCATACCACCTCAATGCTGAGGAGCATTTTCTCTATCGCTGCTTGATTCTGCAGCCTCATTCTTTCCATCCATGCCCACATAGGTCTTTTTGTATTACAATCAAAGCTGTGAACATTTACTTCGCCTTTTGGTATAAACACTGCGTACCACTGCTGCATGTGGTGTTACCTATTCACCACGTGCAGGCCCCATTTAAAGTATAATGTGAAATTGGCCAAATTAGTTTGAGTGATACAGATATTTTTCTCCTTTACTCAGGTATTTGTACCTGCTGTTCTCCGATGACGACCTTCTCCCTCTGGAAGACTGGGTCTTTAATACTGAGGCCCATCCGCTGCCCATCATCCGCAAGAGCTGCCTGCAGGATGAAGCTACACCGGATAAGACAGTTTCTGAATAATACTGAGCACCATTTAGGAAGTGACACGGTTACAGACACACATGCAAACACCAGTCAAGTGCAGGTTCAGAGACTTTTCAGGAGTGTGTTGTTGACCCTGAATTCCTTTCAAGTAAAGGATGTTGTCGTTTTATGCTGTGATTGTATATCCTTTCGCCAGGTTACCTTCTGCTGGCTCTTTTTTGTGGACAATCAAGACAAACATGACTTTCATGAAAAGATACCGTTTTTCTTTCCTTCTTTCCTCTGTGAGGAAAACAATATAACTTACAGACCCAAATGTATGGGAGGAGGTTTGAGTCAGAAAAAGAGGGACATAAAAGACCACTTGAGTTTTGTGCATTTTCTTTCTCCTTAATCTTGAGTCACAGATTATTCCCTTAGATCTTGTTATGGCAGTTTTTCTTTGTCTTTGTGAGTACACTCTTCGACCAAAGGTTTCTTTGCATTTCTATTTCCCTCTTGAAGTTAAGTGTTTTGGTGAGATTGATCAATGTACAGAAAATTGAAATGTGATTAGCAAATTCACCTCTAAACTAATTTTGATGTCAACTTTCTTACTGAAACAAGTTAGATTTTTTTTTTCCTAAAAAGGATGGTGATGTCAGGAAAGCAGATATGTCTAATCCACCCTGGGACCTTTTTTCCCTAAAAAAATACTGTTGGGTTTTATTTCCACTCTGTGCTTTCTCACAGCCTTTCACTTCCAAACAGAGCACTGTGTCATGTTGCTGTTATAGAAGCATTAAAGGAACGGACACATCTGCTTGCCAGTTTCAAATAGGTTTTAGTTTTTGCTGGGGATTTTTCCGCTTCACCCTGCCTTCACATGTGCACCCGTATGCCAGCTGACACCGATGTTGCAGCCTATAATACTGCAGAGATGTTCATGTATTTCATTGCTGCTCTTCTACACAGTTGTGGAGCGAATGTGCTGTACATACAGATGAAGTAAGTGACACCTGTATGAGCTTGTTTTTACTTTGTTCTTTTTTTTCTAAAACTCCAGTGGTTATTTTCTTTGAGTTCTCTATTAATTTGCTTCCCTCAGGTGTTTCAGAAAAAAAGTTTTAGAAAAATGTAAAAAGAAAAAAAAAGTAAAAAATCAGATTTTAAGTCTAGTTATTGCTGATATTAATTATTGATATTACTTCTTACTGTTTGATTTACCTTTAATTGTTAAATATTTTCAAATAATGATTAAAAAAAAATCCTGTGCAACTTTGTACATTTAAAAAGGATCACTTGTGTCATTATTGGTCTCATTCACTTATTTATAGACCCCTTGATAGCTGGAGGCTCCATATTGTTGGTCTGAAGGAAAACGGCCTACTGTGAAATATTCACCTGCTGTTTGCATTAGTTTCAGCATTTGCTTCCAGGAAGTTCATTACAGATTTAATTAAAAAGGGACGTCTTAGGGTTGAGGAATGTTCCAGAAATCAAGACCAGAAAATGACTAAAAGGTTCAGCTGCTGCACATCTGAAAGTCAAACCAACCAAGAAAAGCCTCAAAAGAATTTAAATGTATCTGCTATCATCTGAATCAGAATTTCAGAGTCAACATATTTTACATAGCAAGTATCTAACAGAAAAAACGGATATATTTGTCACCCAACTTACATCCCACAGCAGGACACTTTGACTATCTTTCATTCGAAGCATAAAAAGAGCTAAAGGGGTGTAATTGTAAGTCTTGAGTGCTTGCCTGATTTCACCAACTGGAGAATCACTGATTCAAAAACACGTCAACTCCCTTCTTTTTATACACTGTGTGTCCAGGAAGCCAAAAGAAAAACAACGTGAGTTTGTCTGACTTGGTGAGACCCCTAGCCGGGCCATCTTCCCAGTTGTCGTCCAGCTGTCCCAACCCAACAGCAGTTTTACTGGGAAAAACTGGAATGTAACAGATATGTCAAATATTAACCAGTGATACATTTGCATACAATTGACTCATCTTGGACTCCAGCACGTTAGGGAAAGCTCATTATTTGAGAACCGTCCAAATAAATGCACCATTCATAAACAACACAACACACAAACCATGATCACCTACTGTTGCTGAATTAATGTTACACGAATAGCTCAGAGCTACTAAGTTTGTTCTGTTTATGCATCGAAAACAACAACAAAACTGAGCAGGAGTTTTTATATCTCCATTTTAGAAACAATTAAGTAAAAGAAGAGCAAAAAGGTTTTGTTCTTAATATATGCAAACATTATTACTATTGAAAAGCATTTCTGTGATAAATTATTTTCATTTAACCTTCTGGTGGGCCTAATTACACAGTATACTGCAAAACTGCAGGCTGTTTGCATTTTTATAGCTCTGCATAGGCAGCAGCCAAAAATAAATACATCTTATTTAAGCTACCTCGGTGTGGATTTTTCCCTTCAGTTGTTTATCTGTAATCAGTTTTTTACCTGCAGAGAACAGCCGGTCCCCTCTTTGGAGAAGCACACAGGCAGATCCTAATAGTTTATCCCACTTCAGTCAAATTTCCAAGATGATAAAACCAAAGCAAACTGACCAATAAGCTTATCAGCGCTCTAAAGCCCCACTGAACTTCTACCTATGTTTTATAAAAGTGTGAGATAACTATTCATGAACACAGGTCAGGATTTACTTTCTATAAGCAGTGTCAGCCACAATATACAAACTGGCCATTATACAAACAAAAGGACCCCTGAAAATGAAAATTAAACTACCAGCCTTGAAATGAAAATCCGCCTTTTAACAGATGTGCAAGAGCCCCCTTCTTAGGTGAGTAGTATTGCATCAGCTGTCAACATATTGAACTGATGCAGTATGTGGCTTTTCTACTCTCTGCAGAGGGTAGGAAATGTGTTTATGAGGCCAGATCATTAAAGATAGCTGAATCTACGAAAAGGTGGCTTAAGATTTATCCAAGATGCTACTGTAAGCTGAATGAATCAAAGTGAATCATCTCACCGTCACAAGAAACCATTCTGACTAGTTCTGCAAACGCAAAACTCAAACTTTTCAGAGTGCTTCAAGAAGCAGAAATTGGCACCTGGCCACCTCAAGCTCAAACCCATTAATCCTTCTTCTCCATTAACAATACAAGACTTTGATGAAAAATGTTTAGACACTTGTTGAAAATGATGCAAGTTGAATATGTGCAATAACTAAAATTAACATTTTCTTTAACAAAATCTCTATTATATTTTTAATGTCCAATCCAGCTAAACAATCAAGGGGCTGAAAGACAGATAAGAATGACATAAAAGAGAGAAAGCTTTAAGTATTTGCTTATTTCATCACTTTAAGTGAGCGTTTATATATGACGCCTCTTTAAGTTCTTTCATCTGTCTTTCATTTGTCTGCTTTCAGCTCGGAACAAATAAAATGTGCATAAACTGGCATTTCAACTGTTTCAACCATTCACTCATCCAACAGGCCATTTATCTTCATCTGACCTCAGCTCCTTCTTACACTGGGTTTCAGAAGCAAAGTATTTCTGACTTGAGAGAAACTCTACAGCATAAATAGCAGATAATACAAACACAAAGCCGCTTTGCTTAGTATTCTCCTGTCACAGAAAGAGTGATGTGACAGGTTTAGACTCCTGATCCCCTATCCTGCACTCATCTCCACCTCTGGTTCAGATCAAGGAATTTTCTCCAGAATCTCTTCGATGTATTCTGGGACATGCAGAAAATAAAAACAAACATTTCACCTGTGGTGTCAGTATCTGGCAAATATTTTTAAAAAGCAAGCTGCTTCACAAATTATTAAGTGAATTGAAAACTTTTAAGAAAAACACACAAAAGTGGCATAATTTACATAGTTAATGGGTTGCTGATAAAAAAAAATAAGAGTGAATGGACAATATGGACAGATTAGTTATTGCAGTGTTTGTAGGAAGCGTTACTGATAGCTCTGTGTGACCAGGTCACAAAAAAGGACCCCTAAATACCCCTGAATAGTAAAAAAAAAAAAAAGGTTTCCTCTGTAAAACAATATTCACCATGGTCAATTTCAACATGAATCGTAAATACATGCTTTTACTGCACACCGTCAAAACTACCATTGCAAATGTCTCGTTAAGGAACAACATATTTTGACAATACGTGTGCATTCCTGAGAAATATTGCTGAGAGTTGGCTTTGCACATTACCTCCTTTCAGACCAGCACACATACTCCTTCAGAGAAATGCAAATAAAAGCCACGACAACAAAAATCACAGATTAAATCATTAGTAAGGATGTAAAATCATCGTACAAAACTAGTATCCATGGGATGCCCTCCTATGACAAGCCCTGTCCTTCAAGTCCATCATTCCATAATTAAGGGACCCAAAGGTCTTGCTGTGAATGTACTCGTTCCAGACAACATTTCTCTGACCAAAGCCTCCAGTCACAAATATGACCAGTATTTGGAGTCTGGTTTAAAAGTAATATAGACCAAGTTAGTGAAGTTTGAAATTATCTACTGAATGCCACAACATTTTCATTAAATGAAGAGAAGAAGAAATAGCTATATACTCACTGAGCTGGCTTTTTACCTGCCGACTGGTGGGACTGGGATCCCTGAAAAGCAGAAATTGTGAAAACCACACTGGTATCCCATAACACTCAACTATGTAAATGTAAGGAACAAAATGTGAATAGCTGAGCTGGCTGAGTTTTTTTCTGTTTAAATATGTAGTACACTGATAAATGATTTAATAGTGGGCCTGCTGGCAAAATAGTAACATGCTAGTTAGTTCCATGCTATTATCTAGTTATATGACAATTATAACTTTTGTGATCATCAACTATAATCTGATTAATGGAGGAAATACTCATTTATCCAGTAATGCTGTCATTTAATATTCAGATTCAATTACTGAATCTAATTAGATTAGTTAAAACTTCTACCAGAAGCTGGGTCATGGTTTCCCAGACGTGAATTTAAATAAAGCCTGACTGATAAAGCAGAGGGGCACAGGAGGTGTCTGCTCTGCGTTTTTGGAAGGACTGG